CACAGAATGACAAGCTGGATTTAAAAAAAAAATGACACAACAATATGCTGTCTCCGAGAGACTCATCTCACCAGAAAGGAAACTCACAGACACAAAGTAAGAGAATGGAAACAAATTTTCAGGCAAACGGGACAAAAAAGACAGCAAGAGTTGTGATCTTAACATAAGACAAAATACCCTTTAAGCTATCAAAAATTTAAAAAGATAGAGAAGGTCACTACATAATGAAAAGTTTCAATCCATCAACAAAATATCCATCCTAAACATATATGCACTCAATATGAAGCAGCTTTAAGGTAAACTAAAAAAAGACATTGATTCTAGCAGTAATATAGCTAGGGACTTACATATACCCCACTAACAACCCTAGACAGATCATTATGACAAAAAAAATCAACATAAGATCCAGAACCTCAACATGATGCTTGACCAAATGGACTTAACTGATACCTAAAAAACACTCCACCCAGCAACCATGGTATATACATCCTACTCATCACCACATGTAAGGTACTTTAAATCAACCACATCCTCGACCATAAGTCAAGAAAAAACAAATTTTATAAGATTGAAATACTGCAGTGTACCTTATCAGACCACAGTGGGATAAAAATAAATATCAACACCAACAAAATTTCTTCAATACCCACAAAGTCATATATACAAATGAGCATGATGCTCAACAACTCCTGGTTCAACACAGAAATCAAAACAGAAATTAATAGGTTCCTGGAAACAAATGAAAATGAAGAAAAAACTTATCAAAATCTCTAGAATGCCATGAACACAGTTCTAAGAGGAGAATTCATATCTCTATGCACACATGAAGAAAATGGAAAGATCACAAGTTAATAGCACAACAAATCACCTTAGGAAGCTGAAAAAGCAAGACCACCAAAACCCTAACTTCAGCAGAAGAATCTAGATCACCAAAGTAAAAGTCTAAATTTGAGACATAGAAGACAAAAATATAATACAAAAGAACCAAGGAAACAAAAATCTGGCTCTTTGAAATGATAACAAGATTGATGGACCCCTAGCTAGACTGACCAAGAAAAAGCAAGAAAAAGCCCAAATAAACACAATCAGAAATGCAACAGATCAGGTCACAACTGACCCTGAAGAAATACAAAAGATGATCAGAGATGACTATGTACACTTGTGTGGAAACAAACTTGAAAACCTAAATGAAATGGAGGATGTTCTGACATCACACAACCTCTTCAGGTTAAAACAAGAAGAAATTGGGATACCAAATAGACCATTAACAACCCAGGAAATCGACTATGTCATAAGAAAATTTTCTACCAAAAAAAGCCCTAGACCAGATGACTTTCTAACAGAATTCTACACAACATACAAGAAAGAGCTGATACCAATCCTATAAAATTATTTCAGGCAATTGAGAAAGATAGAACACTTCCCAAATCATTTTATGAAGCTAACATCACATTGATAGCCAAACCAGGTAAAGACCCAAAAAAAGAAAGAGAACTACAGGCCAATATTCTTGATAAACATAGATGCTAAAATTCTCAATGAGATTCTGACAAACCAGATCCAACAACACATCTCAAAAATCATCCACCATGACCAAGTAAGTTTCATCCTGGGTTCAACATCCACAAGACCATAATTATAATTAAATCCATCAATAGATATAAAAACAAAAATCATATGACTATATAATTAGACATGGAAAAAGCTTTCTGTAGAATTCAGCACCCCTTTTTTATAAAACCCTCAAACATCTAAGCATAGATGGAACATACATCAAAATAGTAAGAGCCGTCTACGAGAAACCCACAGCCAATATACTGCTAAAGAAAGAGACAGGAAATGGAATCAATTCCCCAGAAAACCAGAACAAGATAAGGTTGCCCACTCTTACTCCTCCTATTCAACATAGCATTGGAAGACCTAGCTAGAAAATCAGACAAGAGAAGGAAATTGGTAGTATCCAAATAGGAAAAGAGGAAGTTAAGTTATCCCTCTGCAGACAGCATGATTCAATACATTGAAAATACAAGAGAATCTGTCAAAAACCTCCTTGCACTGAAAAAGAGCTTTGGCAGATTCTCAGGGTATAAATTCATTGGGCAAAAGACAGTCGATTTCAATACACCAACAATAAACAGACAAAAACCCAAATAAAAAGCACAATGCCATTCACAATAGTCACAAAAAAATGAAATACCTTGGCACCTTCCTAACCAGAGAAGAACACTGCTCAAAGAAATAAAAAATGACACAAACAAATGAAAAAATATTACATGCTCATGGATTGGGAGAATCAACATTGCTAAGATGTCCATCCTACTCAAGGTAATCAAAAGATTTGATGTAATAACCATTAAATTACCAGCAGCATTCTTCTCAGATCTGGACATAAACAATAAAGGAATTCATACGAAAACATAAATGACCATGATTAGCCAAAACAATCCTCAGCAAAAAAAAAAGCAGGTGGTGTTACACTCCCAGACTTTAAACTCTATTATAAGACTACAATAATCACACCAGCCTGGTATTAGTACAAGAACAGGCATATAGACCAATGGAACAGGATAGAGATTCCAGTAGCAAAACTCAATTTCTGAACCATCTCTTCTTTGACAAAGCCTCCACCAACAACCACTGGGGAGAGGAGAACCTATTCAGTAAATGGTGCTGGGAAAACTGGCTGACCACATGCAGAAGGTTAAAACAAGACCCCTATCTATCACAATACACAAAAATCAATTCGAAATGGATCAAAGACCTAAATGTAAAACCTCAAACTATAAGAACTTTAGACAATGCAGGAGATACCCTGAAGGAAATTGGAACTGGCAATCAATTCCTGATCAAAACCCCATGTGCCCATGCCATAAGAGATAAGATAGACAAGTGAGATCTCAACAAACTTATAATTTCTGAAAAGCCAAAGAAACCATCAAAAGAGTGGGGATACAGCCTGCAAACTGAGAAACAATATTTTCCAACTGTATACCTGACAGTGGCCTAACATCTAGGATCTACAAAGAACTCAAACATGCCAAGAAAGAAAAAAAACAAACAGCCCCATTACAAAGTGGGCAAAAGATATGAATAGACATTTCTCAAAAGAAGACATATGAGCAGCCAGCAGATACATGAAAAAATGCTCCGCCTCACTAGTCATCAAAGAAATACAAGTCAAAACCACACTGAGATACCATCTAACTCCTATCAGGATGGCCATCATCAGTAATTCAAAAAAAAAAATGATGGTGGAGAGGACACAGGGGAAAGAGACAACTTCTACACTTTTGGTGAGAGTTTAAACTAGTACAACCTCTGTGGAAAACAATTTGGCAATTCCTAAAAGATCTAAAAATTGACCTTCCATACGACCCCACAATCCCCCTACTGGGAAGAACTCAAATCATTCTATGAAAAAGACCTGCACATGCATGTTTATTGCAGCATTATTCACAATAGCAAAAACATGGAACCAACCATGCTGCCCATCAAAAGAGGACTGGATTTAAAAAATGTGATACATATACATGATGGAATATTATGCAGTCATAAAGGAGAAAATGATGAACTTCGCAGAAACTTGGATAGACTTAGAGTCTATAATACTGAGTGATCTATCACAGAAACAAAGAACTGAGTACCACCACATGTTCTCACTCCTAAGCAGGCCTTGAACAATTGTCATAATACTATAAGAACTGAATTGGCAGTAGTGGGAAACTATCAGGGATAGAGGGTGGGATTGGCAGTTGAGGGAAACTGCCAGGAGAGGGATGCACACCTCGTCAATAAGAGTACCTGCATAATGAACATTTATGTCCCTAACCCTGACTTGTACTCCGCATCTTTAAAATTTAAAATTAAATAATAACAAAAAAATTTTAAAAGGAATGTCATTTCAAGTCTTATTCCTTAAGAGTTAATTGTAAGACACAGACCTTTTGAGCCCCCTTATCAAGAGATTCTGAAACATTAGTAAAATTACACCTGTACTGATAATCTGACACATATACACAGTTTTCCTTATAAAATAAATGACAAAAAGTAAAATATAAACTGAAAAACAATTTCTAATATAGGTAGATGCAAATGCTAGTTTAAGCTAGTTATCAGAGTGGACATTGTTTGTATCTCAGTAGCCATCTGAATATAATAATGTTATCATTAACCCTTGCCTAATTTCAAATTAACCTGGTGTGCATCCATTTAATGCATTCATTTATTCATCTAATTCAGATCAATTTTTTAATGTCTCATACTAACACAATTACAAGTTAATTTGAAAAGAATCTAATAGAAAAATTTAATCACAAAAGACTTTAAAAGAAAACTAAGAAATCAATATGCAAATGAGTAAAAAGCATAACTAATAGAAATGAATCATTTGAAAAATCATTATCTCCCCCACATAGTTAACTCGTTGAAATGAAGCATTAAGGGAAAAAGAATTTGAGGCTAAAGTTAATAATGTTACTTTCTTTTTAAACCAAACTATAATGTAATGCTTGTTCCTATATTCATTTGAAGTATTTTTCAATCAATAGTTAAGCTCAATAAGAATGTACTATAAAAAATGTGCAAGACAGGTAATCTTGAAATAGAAATAGATTATTTCATGTGATTAAAAGATGAAAAGTAGCAACAGCATTTACCATTTGCATCCTCTTGTTTTTTAGGTTGATGATTTATTTGCATTTCTGCAAAAATAAAAGTGAAGTGCAGTTAATAATAGATCTGTCTAATGACATTGCATGTGGGGAAAAAAGGAAATTTAAGTTTAACTCTTTAACAGCGGCAAATTCTTTGGTTGATTTTTCAACTTAGAGTAAGGCATAGAATGTTGCCAAGACACATATTTACATATGTTTTTATTTTCACAGTGAGACATACATATAAATCTAACATAAAAGGTATACTATCAAAGGAGACATTCTGGGGAAAACTGGGGAATCAGTTCCATGAAGTCCAGATGTAACAAAATCATCTTCTATTCTCTTCTACTGACAGATCCATGAATCCTCACCTTGATGATAAAGTTCAATTTCTGAATGAAGTACGCCCTGAGACATAAAAGGAAGCCATCTGAGGAAAAGGAGGGAAAAAGAGAGAGAGAGAGAGGAGGGAAGAGAGAGAAGAAGAAAAGAAAAAATTAACTTTTGACTCAATTTTTACAATAAGTTTGATTCGGCATTCATTTTGCACATGAAAAGGTAACTATAAAAATAGATGTTTACGTACTCAAACACAACCCAGCCTAGTGTATATTCATTGTTGTGCTAAGAATTATGTCATAACTGCAGCATGAAGAATAAAATATATAAGTTGCTAACCTGCTCACCACCTACCTCTCCAAGTATATGGGGCCTCGATCACTGGCACCTGTAAACACACTGAGGCTCCAGGAAAGCACTCATAGTACCACGCTGCAATGAAGGCAGAGAGGTTTATGATTTTGATAGTGATGCTTGGACCAGCCTAGCAATATGGCCTTCCCAGTGGTTGGAGGGAAACTTGGCCGAGAAAAATGAATTTGACCATTTTAACATTTCCTCTGTGAGAGTCTCTGTTTTGCTTTCACATAGCTTCTTCTGAAATCTCTTCTTCTGCAGAAAAGACTATTACCTTAAAAGTAGGTGAAAATTTTATCAATTTGAAAAATGTGCTTAGGGGAAGTTTTAATGGCCCATTCTGGCAGCTTCCTCCTAAACCAGCCAAACTTCTGTGTTAGAAGCTCACTTTTATAGAAAAAAAGTCAAAACTGGACTCAAAACTAATTTTACCACTTAATGGCTTTGTGGTCTGACCTTCTTGAAGCTTAGTTTCCTTGACTAAATCACCTGCCTCATGGAACTGTTGTGAAGCTGAAATAAAGTCATGCACAAGTATTGTTTGTGCTATTAAGTAGTCCACACATTTCATTATTTTACTACAAAAATCACAGTTATAGCAATTCCACACACTCAAGCATATGTGCATTCCTTCCATCCCTCCATCTATTCATTTAATACATACTTAGAAACAAAGAACTGAGTATCACATGCTCTTACTCATAGACGGACCTTGAACAATTATCATAATACTATAAGAAAATGATTGGCAGTAGCAGGAAACTGACGGGGGGGGGTAGGATTGGCGGTAGTGGGAATCTGCCGGGAGAAGGGGGGTTCATCTCATCCACAAGGGTACCTGCATAATGAGCATGTGTATACCTAACCCTGAATTGTACCCCACATCTTTAAAATAAAAAAAAAAATTAAAAGTTAAATAAATTTTAAAAATAAAATAAAAAGTGGAATAAAAAAAAATAGATAGTAGGTGTTTCCCATGTCCCAGGCACTTTGCTAAGTGCTGAGGCTCCAGGAAGAACAACAGGGATAAAGAACCTGACTGGAGGAGCTTCCAGCATCAAAGAAGACAGCAGATAATGTAAAGATGTAAACGTAACCAAGTGTGGTGAGTGAGGTAAGAAATATAGATGTTATAGGAGCAGAAAGGGAGACTGGCCAACTCAGTGGCACAAACAGGGAAGTGCAAAGGTAGGAAGAACAAAAAACTGTCAATAAAGAGGTGACACTCAAGGAAGGCTGGGCAATGAGGAGGCCAGAAAGGGCACCATAGAGAGAGAACAACTTTGGCATAGGCACAGAGGCATGATGAAATTCCATGTGCTGAAGCAAGGAGGCTGAACAAGACAGGCTGGGGGCAGGGATTGCATGGGGGTTACCTAAGGCTAGGTGTGGGATCTGAGGATGTCAAGAAAGAACTTAGAGGCTGAGCTGTAGGGATGACTCCACCACACTTGCCTTGAAATCAGCACCACCAGAACGATGTGGGGCATACAGGTGAACTGTGAGCTCATAGTCCTGCCAGCCATTAGGATTACTCCTCTTTCCAAAGCTCTTAGAGATCCCACTTCCTTCTGACCACTTCAACTCACAGTGTGCTTTCTTCCTCTTCTGGAAGCTTTATTTTACATATTCCGTTAGGTCCTAATTGTGCAAACTTGCTTTATCTGTATTAATTGTGTTTGGTTGATGTGTCTCATCTGTGCAGCTAGAGTGCTCTCTCCATGAAGAGTTTACTTTACATGCCAAAATAAAGACTGTCACCTTTACGTTTATGAATATAGGCTTTAAATTTGATGTGGAGTCAGACAGCCTTGTTTCAGAATCTAGCTCCAACACCTGTTAGTTGTACAACCTTGACGCATGCTCTTGACCTTTCTAAGCCTCAATTTCCTCTTTTGTAAATTATGAATAACAATAGTACCTACACAAGGGATACAGGATTAAACATACGTAAGCTTATTGTATTAAAACAGTTATTTATTTTCTTATTGCCAAACACAGTACCTTGTACAGAGTTGTGTTATAGCAAATATATTTGAGGTGATTGCTAGTTAACTGATAAGCATCCTCCTTTTTTCAGATGTGCCACGAAGTAATGGACCTTGGATAGTGAGCCACGTTTTTGCATTAGGAGAAAATAAATCCTCCAAAGCCAGTGAATAGAAGGGAAGATTGAGGAGTATGGCCTGAGAGGGTTAACATTAAAGGAGTGGGATAAAAAGCAAGCAGGAAATGGGTACTTGCCCAGAAACACCATATATTCTCTGCAGCCACCACCAAAATAATGCCTAAATGTCCCCAGCTCACCAGGGAGTTCCCTTTTACTGCCCTAGCTAGGAAACACAAAGACAGAGGGAAAAAATTCTCTAAGTCATTTAACATTAGAGTTGAGAACCATAGAATATGTTTGGGTGATCTTAAAACATGCGCAGTGTTTTTTGCTGGTAAAGAGGCATAAAACAGTAAGGAGTAATATAGATTACATTTAATCTAAGCTACAGTTTAGATATGGCAGCCAAACATTCACATTGAAAATGGCGGAAATATATTTGAAGCTTCTATGTCTCCACCCCACGTCCCAAAAAATGAGCAAAACTCATCCCTGCGCCTCATTCTGTCAGTTTCCCACCATCACTGCTTGTCACTTTCGCACCAAGGAATGGCTCAAACTGACAAAGAAGAGCACAGAAATCTGCAGCAGCACAAATACATGCTCAGAATAGCAAGAAATGATTAATAATGGCCTCTTTCAGAAAAAAATCAGTAAAGTTAAGTGATTGCTCACTGCCTCATGATAATTTTTATTATTCTCTTCCTTGTAAAAATAGTATTTTACATTTCTGTGCTTTATCAAAACTTCAACATCCTTTTTTAATCTATGCCATTCATCATTTCACCCTTTTTCCCAGAAAGGGAAAATAAAACCATTTATACATATGATGAATTATTTTGGAAATAAATAAATGCTTAAATTATTTTTAATGAGATATCTGAGAATGCTACAGAGGGAACCCAGGTAAGGATTAGGTGACTTAAGGCTTCTTTCAATTTGGGATTCCATTATGCTTTTTGTTCCTCCCTCCCTTGTCTGCTTCCCTCTCTCTCTCCCTGTGTCTCTCCTCTTCCTTCCCCTCCTGTCCCCGGCTCTTCCCTCACTCCTCTCTTCTTTCCCTCCTTTCCTCCCTCCTTCTCTTCCTTCCTTCCACCCGCCCCCATTTCTTTCTTATAAACTTTGGTCAAATCCTTAATTGGTACAAGAAACCGTGCTGAACAATAAAAACAAATGTATGAGACGCTTATCACCTGGTACATGAGACAAACATTCACAAACAACAATGGTAGATGACCTGATGTGGCAAGAATTGCATCAAGGTCTAGGTCAAGCCCTGGAGGATTTTAAGGTCACTTCTGGTTGGGCAAGCAGAGCAAGCTTCGTGACATGAATACCATTTTATTCTGGGCCTTGAAGGATGAGAATTTCCATAAGCAGAGGAAAGTATAAAATGAGCTAAGACATGCGAGGCAAGAGAGAGCCAATGTCCCTGGAGAAAGTCTAGAGAGGGAAGCAAAATGTACTTTATTGGAAGGCATCACAAGAGAAGCCCGGAAAGGCCAATAGCCAAAGCAGGGTGTAGGGGGTGAGCTGCTAGTTCATTTTAAACCTGTCACTACAAACTATCGCCTTTAGACAGAGCTGGCCTAGGTATAAAAGTGCCCTTGCCAACTATGCCTATGCAGAAAAAAAAAGAGTGCTGTTCAAACAGGCTGGCCCTAGTCCTTTTTCTGCACCTCTCCACAAATGATATACTCACCTCTGTATAGAAATCAGTTTATTTCATCACAAATTCACTAATTTAGCACCCACTTCCTGCACACCTACTATGCTCTAAACATTTGTCCTGTAGACACTGAAGGTCTCTATTACAGCCTCCTAAGGACATCGGCCTTCATATTTGACTTTTGGAATAACTGCCAGAGTTGACACAAGGCAACTTAACAAGGAAAATGCTTTGTGAACAATATTGCTGAAACAATGCAGGGTAATTGGCAGTCTTGCTGCTGTTTAAGAATTTCTTGCATGACCCTTCCAGTGTTCGGTGTTCAAGGTCACAGCGATGGAATGCCCCTTTCTGCCTGACAGTCAAGGTGCATCCCAATCGCGGTTGTGAGTGGTCACCTAACAACTTCAGTTTTTCAAGACAGAGCCCAAGACAAGTGAACCATGTTTTGCTAAAAAAAAAAAAATCTACACCAGTGAAATACTCGTCTTTTCTTTGTTTTAACTCCCATGTTAATTCTAAGGATCATTCTTTGGCTCTTTGTTATCATTGACACTTAAAAATGGATATTAAGTGACAATTTTGCTTATATGTGTCTTAGAGAGATTAAGACATATTTAAACCTTTTAGATTTCATGCTCTAATTCCAAACCCATCATTTACTGTGATTTCCTTTAGGGCTTATGATGTCTTGATTAATGTATACCCTTTGGCTCAAATTATTACATATTTAACCTGTTCTATTCCAGAAACATGGTAGGAGCTGAAAATAAAAATATAAGACATTATCTCTCAGGAGAAGTCTACTGAGAGATAGAGAAGTAGGATAGACACATAAACACACAAGTGTAATTTAATGTAGTAAGTGTTGAATTAATGTCATGCACTTTGTGAAAGGTATACAGGGAAGTAACACTCTCCCAACCTGTGGCTTCAGAAAATATTTCCTGACAAA